GTCTGAAAGCAGCCGGTGCCCGTACTGATTTTTCTTTCTCCTTATTCATCTATTGTTACACAAGATGCTAGATGCTCATTCCTTTACTGAATTTGCTTGGCTGTCATTCTCGTGCAACATCATGTCAATTTTAGTATAAAGTTTCCCTTCAGCCTCGTTATTGCAATGATTGAGCTGTGGCCATGAATAAGAACATGGAAAATGTGTTATAGAAGTGTCGTTTCTAATACGTAACAACTGAAAGGAAAGGGCGCACTGACCCTGTCTGAGCAAATCTTTTTTTTTTCAACAAAACTAACAAAAGGCGGCATAGGACGATTGTCGCTGAATATTTGATGGCATGGTCGATTGGAATTTCATTGAAACTCGATGAATGGAAACATAAATTAGTAGCAAAGAGGTGAAAGTTTATCTAAGCAATTCCTCAAAGTTTCCATAATTTTGAAAGGAGTTTCTGATTGTGGAGCTCTTCTAAAAGGTAAAAGCGCCATGTCAACCGTCGTATCTATTTATCTCTTTGATTCATCACAGACTTTAAATTAGATCTTATTCTTGAAAAACGTACCAGCATCTTTGTAATAATAATAAAATGGTATAACATTGAAGGTTTAGACATTAATCCAATCCCTCTCTGCTGTGCATCCAACTATCAAAATATAAAAATGTAGCAAATTATGATCTTTACCATAACATTCCCACTTGTGCAACGTGTATTTCCACTGACTTACCTCTGCTTACAACAGCTGTCCGACAAGCATCGGCTTCGAAGCTACATCATGCTTTTTTCTAGCCGTCTTTTCGAAGGACGGGCAAAGGCTGACATTGCTATGCTTCCTATTCCATATTATTTCTCTCAGGCTCTTATCGTCTCCCATTTTCTTGTCTTTTTGTTAGTTTTGTTACCCTTTTGAAAGCCTTTTATTGTCGCTTCTCTTCTGATGTTGTGTTTGATGTATTTGTTAATTTTGTCGGTTGGGTACACTCGATGAACAGTAGGTAATAGAGTCACACATTTCCATTATTTCAGAAGGATGCGTTCAAGAACTGGCTCAGGGGTCCGATTAGACCGAATCCTGTTTATGGTTGATCAAACCATTTGCAAATATCAAAATGCTATAACGGGACTGTTTGCCAACCAAAAGGATTTTCCAGGTACTTTCCAGCGAAAACTTCTACCAAATGTGCTAGCATTGCCGTGAGTAGTTGTGTATGACATACAGTCTGAAATACCTATGAAAGTATAAAATACCAGTTGTATCGTGCAGTTTCCATTGGGCTTCCCTCCTTCTTTCTTAAAGTCGTAATGCAGACCTGATCCTCCATTTCTCTTTTCGAAACAAAAGATTCATTTTCTCGTTCAATCGCTCTCACTCCCTGCCACGTACCATCACCGCTCACATCCTGCTGCATGTGTCTCTTCCAAATTTGAAATCTGTAGGTTTAGGGGAGGGGATATGAACTGCTATTCGGAATCTAGTAACAAGGCAGTACTTTGCGCTTTTCGTAGCGAAAACGACATTCAGTGGCTGCTCTCGTCGATAGAGATTGGATATGGTTGCTTAGGTTGGACATGCGCAGCTGTGTAATAGTTTTGTTACCGCTAGCACATGCCCTTGTAGCTGCACTTATCTAGTTCAAGAATCAGCCCTCCTCGCTTTACAATAAATGTTAAGGTGTGGTAATAACTAGAAATGAACGAGAATTACCTAATTTGACGTAAGGATTGCGTTCGTGCTATTTATAAGCATTGGTGAGAGTTGCTTCGACATTTCATCGTTAGCCCCTTCACGATCCTCATTAGTTTTATCACTTTCAGAGCCCTTATTTTTTAGGGCACGCATGGATTCGCGATAATGTTTACGTAATCCACTCCCTTTGGGCTCTTTATCGTGCGTATATGAAATGCGCGGAATTCGACGAAGACCTCACAAAAGCTAATGAGTTAGGTCTCACATGGTAGGTGTTGGGATGCAAACGATTTGAAAGCTTGATTTAATTTTCCTTTGAAATGCTTATACATATTCAGCATTAAAATGATGCAGTCCCTTTTGGAATGCATGATGCGCCAAGCGGATAAAGTGGAAATGTTCAAAAAATATCAGCGACCAGTAGACGCACTCCACTCGAAGTTTTCAGTTTCTACAAAGAGTACGGTGCGTTTGAGGACCTTTTTAAATATCTTCGAGCCTTTTGGTCGTATTATAAAAGCATTTAGAGCTAGAAAGTGGTCATTACTGTTTGATCTTTCAAGACAGGTCTCGGAGGTGTTATTCTGAATAGCCGATTTTCGTGACCGCTAGCGGTGCGATAGCTGTAGTAGGCAACGATAGCAAAGATAAAAGGCTCAGACTACGACGGAATTAAAGTAAGAGGCGGCAATGAATGAATAATAAAGTACCTAAAAGACGCTGTACCTCATTAGTGATCGCTTGACTCAAGTGTTTTCTTAGAAATGGGCATGTCTCATCTTCTCGCCCTAGCCCCTCATAGTGAGGTATACCTTTGACGGCATGCCTGGCTATGGCACACACAAGTGCTTGCTGTTTGAGGAAGGTTGCTTGCATTGCTCACCGGCTGTATGCCATCTGCTGAGTGCAGCTACTGCACGATCCCATACCACTTATGCTTTTATATGATAATCTTGCAATTCTTTCATATAGTGTAGCTTTTGACCTTTGAAAACAAGTGTTCCTATGAAAATTCGAAAGAATTGTTGGTCGCGCAGCACGCATCGTAGATATTCAGCGCACAACCCCACATTTATTTCCGTTTTCTCTCTTCACGTCAAATTGTTCGGCAGGTGTTTTAACGCTGTACCTGACCTCTGATAATCATCATCATCATCGGGGAAGTTTTATATCTTTATAGGTTTGCGGCGATACCGAGTGGGGTCATCTTCAAATAGATGCCATCTCCCTATTTCTGCTTACCCTCGCACAGATCACCGCCTCAGGTGAGCTTTTTAACACTTTTTTCAAATTCCTTTCTACGTCAACGTGCCAATATTTGCTTTTCTGACTGTAAGTTATATGAGAATTGCAATTTTTGGACCTATTATGAAGATGGCTTTTTGATTGGTGACGCGTTTGACAGCCATGTGGCGCAAGAGTTGCAGTGGTGCTTGAATCTACCTAGCCTTTCACCTTAAGGATTCTATGGCTTGTTTTTAAGTAGCGCATTCTATGGTCAGTGATGAATAAATGGCGTGATCATTTATCCCAAAATCTGCTAGCTTCTGGTCCTGATCGCCTGTTCGTAAAGAAACCTATATCATCATGTTGGAATTTCACTGGGTGGGGCTTATATCGCAGTCAATTAGTCGTTCACTGCATGCGATTTTCTCGATGAATAGCGATAATTTGTTTAGCCATAATGTTGCGCTGCTTTCAGGAAAAATATGCTTTTTGAGAATAGAATTTGAATACATATCATGATGAACGAATTCAAAGGTCTTCAAGTGGTGCGTAACTTCGATGAAGTGGCCTTCATTCAAAACCTCGTGTATTACATTGAAACTGGATACCGCACTCCGGTAAGTGTGATTCCTCATCGAAACCTTGCCATCTTTCTAATTGATAGAAAAACGAAAATGTGCCAGACATCTGTTTTCAAATTGGCTGTTGATAGGGATAACTGCGTTTTTTCGTAGCTGCTCCCAACCGATGGAAAAACCTCATGAGTATGGCGAGCATTGCATGCGCTATTGCTGATATGCTTTGGCTGGGAATCTGTTAAGAGGGCTAGGGCAAGCGGGGGGGGGGGGGGGGTATTGTGAGGGATACGTCGCCCGGAAAAAAGCGGGCTCGAGCCCCGTCCTGGTCGGAGTGTTTTGCCAGTAACTCGCCGTGCTTTCTGAAATATTTAACCTCATGAGGAGTTCAAGACAATGAACTCAGGATATAATTATGAGGAGGTTCATGGAAAGCCGTACATAAAATATTTGTCTTACTCATCATAGAGAAAAAGATCATTCAAAACTTTCAAGACCTTACTGTACATAATAAATTGGAGTGCAGTTTCACTCAGTGGCTGTCAGGGTCCTTTCCTGTTGTACTTTCCGATTTTACCAACTATTTAAATGACTTCTGCAGTCAGTCGATAAACTACCTGCTAGATTTATTTCTATGTAAGACATTCTTTCCGAATCTCGACATATTTTGCTTTTCAATTCCCTTTACACGATAACTTTTCTAATAGTGTGCTTTTCTTGTTCAAATCATTCTTCTCATTTTTTGGGCATATAACTTTTTCTTACAGCTTGTAAGAGCTAACAACATGTGTTAGTACATCCTGCGTTCAAGATAAACTAAGCTTACATTGTAGGCTCTGCGAACGTTGCAAACAGCAATCTTTGCTCCAACAAAAATGTTTGGAGCCAATAGAAGTAATCCAAGCAATAACGAGATTCACTTGGGTGAAGTTCATATTTGGCTCCCAACTCCTTAGATGTTATGATAGACTGTTATAGCAGTCATAATAATTTTTCAAGATGGTAGAGTTTTTTTTTCCAAAAAAAAAAAATTCCTACCCGCTATGTATAATACCAGTTGCGCATCTCCCTCACTATTAGTTTTAGCTCGCTGGATCAAGGCAGATATGAAAACCTATGAAAAAAAAANAAAAAAAAATAGAGTCGTGGTAACCTGGCTATTTGCGTTTTTTACCAGTAATTTAATTATTGCTGCACAGTTTAGGATTTTGGCATTTGGGAACGTGGAGATAAGACAAACCAGGGAATAAGAGAACTTAATGCGAGCTCCATTGGCATGGTTAAAGCAGCTTTGCAGGTACGTTTTCCTTGAATATTCATTGATGAAAATCACTTGACATCCTCGGTATGTTGTGTAATATTCACGATGTGTAGGCTTTGAATGATGTCGGTGACTTGTTTGGAGATGGTTCTCGACGATCCGCCATACATGTCTTACCCGATGAGATTGAGCAGTGTTCTGCGGTTCTTAGCAGCATGCTTCCAAGAGAATCGTTCAGTAAGGTAGTTTTTAATGTACTACTTTATTTTTTGCTAGCAAATGCCTGCTTTGCTTATAAATAGCGAATGTGACTGATGAAGTTGAATTTCACGGCAGCAGAATGCTTAATCAGGTCACCTATCCGAGCTCGCCGATTGTGAGTGTGCCTTCTTGTGTGGATGTAAGCCTGTTCTCAGGCTGTTTTGCGTTTTGCTGCGGTAAAATTAATGTTGTCATAAAGGAGCGCTACATTGTGCGTTGTCGTCGCCCTTAAGAATTGTTACGGAAGTGCATTTGCGTCTGAAAATTGGATCTACGGTGACTACCTTAGAATACAAATTGGTCGCAATCTCTCTAGGGGAAGGAAGTGGTTGAAACGGGAGTAAGGTCTCTTCAATTCCTATGAATATGGATATTTTGAAAAAGAGGTGATAGAAGAGAACCCTGTTCTTGGGGAGGGAGTGGATGGTCTAGAGAAACAACATTATTTACTGCGATATTTTCGATCATCAATGCAGGATGATATGTTTCATGCCTTCGAGCTCGCAGTGATCACATTCATATTTTTCAAGGAGACGGACGCGGCGTTGCTAACGATAATCTCGTATCCCGGTTTCGCCGTGGAGGATGCTGAGTTGGTGGAACAAACTAGGGACACAATTACTACGAAACTGTTGGGAAAGTATGGATGCAGGCGTTTCCTGCGGGATGGGTACAAAACAGCCCTTGAGGTTCGCAGCTCTGCTTTTCTTTGACAGTTTCATGTATCGATATTCTCTATCACAGGATCCTTATCGTTTGTACTACAACAAGTCGGAACTACAGCAGTTCGAGAACATCGAATGTGAATGGCCTCTATTCCTTTGTCTTCTTATGTTAGATGCCATGTATAACAAGAACGATGAAGCGGTTGAGGACTACTGGCAACGATTGGAAAGTGTAAGTTGGATTAGGCCGATGCAATTCCATTTCAAATAACCAATAGTTGAATTTTGAGGTCGTAGTTTTGTGCGAAAAAGGATTTCGGCTAATTCCTGAGCTCTATAAAGTGGAACGCCATTGCGTAGCTGGTGAAAAAGCTAACAGAGGATCACAGCCTAGAATTCCAGCTGGTGCTACGTGAGTTGTAGTTTCCAATTCTCAAACGCCCAGTTAATGTTAATGTAACGCACAGATAGAGCGTCTCGGAAAGTTAGGATTAACCTGTAATTGCCAAGCGTTGGGTTTAGCAATACAGTTCGGTTTGTGCACAAGTTTCGGGACATTTCCTCAAAGAACCTACTGATGGGTTACTAAAGCTCTGATTCGTTCCGTTTTTNTTTTTGGAACTGCCCGCGGTCATCTCAGCAGGATGACTCCCCGGCGCATACAGCCAACTCGCCCAAAAGTGGTGCCCACGCGACTGCCCGACAACATTAGCGCCGAGAAATGGCAATCCTGCTTACCAGATCCTAACTTACTTGTTTTCTCCGTGTAGTCCTTAATAGAAGAGAAACATGCCGAGTGTACCCTCCAGTTTGGAGTCTAAAGCAAGACTCAAGAGCTGCTGGGAAGAAATTGAGGTGGGATACATGCGTGTAACATACTAGGAATTCGAAAACAGGCTTTGAGCTAAGTGAGAGTGGTTGGAATATGATTGTAACTTGTTGTATGATGTACTCTATGTAGAAGTGACTACATTCTATTGTCATTCTCATGTTGGAAGTTCAAAATGCATTGAATTGAGTAGGCGCCCATATTTTTGAGACCTCCTGTATATATAACGAACTGAATTGCAGGCCGTATCTTTGGGCGCAGTCACTCTATGTTATATGCTGTCTACTTTATGAAGGATTTTTGAGCCCTGCCGAACTGGATCCTCTCAGCAGAAGGTTGTCATCTCACGAAAAACGTCCTCCATGTGAAGTTCAAGGTAGGGCCTTATTTCGCTTATTTGAAACTTGTATGTGAGTGGAGGATCTGGTGTGGGCTCTGAACAAGCCTATTTTCGCAGTAGCTCATAAATTTGGAAATTCAGTCAGCTTTTTTTGCCTGTGGCTAAACCGTAGCATTTCATGTGAAGTTGACGAATGTATGAAAATAGCAAAAGTGCTCCGAGATCCCTCAATACCGTTTTAATGATAGCGAGTTTTTGTGTTTTGCTTTAGTTTCACTTTTGAACACAGTGTCTTGTTCTACGCTCTGTTCAGTATTTTAATTTAGTGACCATTTTGGCTAAAACTGGGGAGGTACAACGCGAACTACGAGCGAATGGAATCAACGTTCAGCGAATCGACGAAATCGATCCTGTGTTCACTATACTACCAGCTTCATCGCTCGCTGAATTCCACTCGAGGTTTATCTAAACAGTATTTTCATCTCCTTATTCAAGGTTTTTCGGGGTATCGAAAGACTTCGACCATACACTTTTTCATTATGTAAAAGATACCATCGCACACGTTGTATGTACCGTTCCTGTGGGTACAGTTCAGCTGAGCTCACCTGTTCTCTGTTGCTTTTGGCCTATATCCAACCAATCCTGAACATAACCCGACCTCTCTAGGGGCTCTTTCAAGTAATATCGAACTCGGTGTCAGACAGACAGACAGACAGACAGACAGACAAACAAAAGAACAAACAAACAAGCGGGAGTGCGTTTTACATAATAAGGACTTAATTAAAGCATCGCGTCAAGGCTCACACCTAGTTGCTGGATTTGGTGACTAGTATTTTTGGGTGCATAGATGATTTTGAGTTCAGGATTGGGCAATCGAATAAGTTGCGTTTGAGTGGACGTCCGTCGGATCGAGATATCGGTTTGTTGAGTACAAGTCGGCTATATCAAATCGGACAAAAATTCGTAATATTCACACCTCAGGTGAAACCGAGAGTCGCATTCTCATTATTGGTAAAATATCACGCTCAATTCATTTAGTTCATGGACAGTCGTCGATCTCATTTAATGTATGATATTCGCATTCTAATGGATGAGTGGAGCTCTGAGCTGCAGTACATATATGCGTCTTGGAATTCAGTCAGCATCAGCGGGAGGCCGTTAGTGGTCCTGGTCATCAATAGTGACATGCTCACCACGGTGCGGATTTTCATGTGTTGCGACTACGAATTTTTTTTTTAAACATAATCTTTCTAAGTGATCGGTAACAGTTTCACAAGTTGTGGATCAGTGTTGTTCCCAAGGTCCTGAAGACCTGGCGGCAATCCTGTTGTCCTCAAGCCCGTCTATGCCCGATATTCCTTTTTACAATCGGTGAAAAGACTAATGAGTAGGCTCGATTGAAGAACAAGTCGAAACTGATGGCATGGACCGGACCGATATTGATTTTTATCATTATTTTAGCGATCTCGCGCATCTCTTGTTATCAGGCGAAGTTCGAATGTTCCATCCTTGAAGGGGCAAAGCTGTGAATGCTCGTTCTCTGACAACCCGACACCCTTTCGTACCACAGAAAATCAATACCGAACGATAGCGATCGATATCGCTGGCGCGAAGTTTATAATATTCCTTCCTTTTCCTAAAATTTGCACTTTATGTCTAATGGGAGTGGAATAATGGATTTAGTGGTGCAGACACAAGTATGTATGTGTACATGCATCCCACGGGTACGTACACAAGCGTGGTCATATAAACGCATTTACATGCACGGATACATTGTACACTTTACATGCTAGTACAGAAACACATCTACCCATAGGCATATAAGTTCACCCCGGAGAAGTTTCTGAGTTCGCTTATTTCAGGAATTTAACGGAATTGCCAACTCTCAAGCGCTCTTTTTGCGTGCCTTTGACTTACGTCCGAGCGCTTCGAGAACCTAACAATCCTATGGAATTATAAGCGCTGGAATCGAAGAAAGTTTATAGTAGAGGTTCCCGGATTTGGATCTAAATCTCTTGCAACTTTTTCTTTACCCACTCAGAAGCAAAGTCCGCTTTGAGTTGGTGCTGTCATTGGCTGCACTCAGGACATGATCGTGCCACCACGGGCGTCGCACATTTTATAAGCAACACGGGCTACTCCAAAACGCTTCCTTAGTACATCATTGCGAGTGCGGCCCAGACGCATGGTCTCAGCTACCTATCGCAGCATTTTCTTTTCCATTACACCGAGCTGGAAGTACGCCTCTAGGTAAAGGAAACGAAAAAGCTGCTATGGACATCAGGGGCCACACGTTTGGACCGCATTCGCAGCAATACTGTAAGGAATCGTTTTGGAGTAGCCCGTTTTGCCGATACATTGCGCAAAGCTAGTATTTGACTTTATCTGTTAGAGAAGTCAGCATGGAGAAGTCAGTGGAGTGAATGGAGTGCGAAATGTCGTGATTTAAGACGAGTGTACATATCTCACAAGGATGGGTCGGGGCGCGCAGTACCTCCAACAGAACCTCGCGACTCACTGTAACACAGATGTGTTGAAAATCAAACATTTGTGCGTTTTTGAATAGATACATGCCATATGATTGCTCAGTTTAGGATGGTTTGTCGAACTTCTCCAACATTTCTCTCAACCGATTTATGAAATCTACTGTAATAGGAACCATCAAGAAAATCAACACCGGATATCTTGGTGGAGCTAGGTGAAGTGGCTTTGCTTTCTGATTGTGAGCTGGTCTGCAAATGAGGGGGCCGATTCAGAATCGTCATGAGGAATCTGTCGGATTTTTTCCGCACCACTGCTGTGAGTAAGTTGGAGTTCAACGACAACAGTGGGGAGTTCCTTCTAGACGAGCCTGAAACAAAGATTCAGTTCGCCTTACCTAGTGACGTCAGTCTGGCTGATAAGACCAGTGAGTGCAGACTTTATTTCTTTTAGCTTTGTAAGACACTTTGTAATGCTTCCAGGTTTTTCGTTATCACCGAAACCCAGCTCGCTTCGACGTGGCGAGTCAGTGAGGGATCGAAGCACTTACAACCTGGTACATAAAGTATCGATGAGACATCGATCAATCGCGCTCGACAGCAATGATAGCGGTTGGTTCATAGTTAGTGTTAGTTATGGTCTTTGCATTTCAAAGCCCATTTGCGAGATAGTTTCGCATGAGCACTGGCGCTGTCATCCTTTCAGGTGCGAAGAGCTCCTCTTCAGTAAAAATGGAAGCAAAATTGAATTAGTGATACTCAGGTTCTTCCCTCAAATTATGTTGCTGCGCGAATTGTTTAGATTAGGCTGCTGCGTCCAAAACATGCGGAGAGCATAATGATCTTGAATTCTTCACATCTAGTTGAGGTCGTCTCGCATTGAGGTGCGGAGAAACTCCAACCGTAAGGAACTACGCAAACCCAGAAATATTTACTACCTGAAACGCTTTCTCTGTCGTATTCTCGTGCCAAATTTCCATCCATCTTTTACTGCTGCAAACGGTCCATGGCAATCGATTCGACTTTTAGAATACAAGTTTTTAGCTCTGCATCCCCGAACAGTGTACTGCTTTTCAGCTATTCGTTAGATAGTGAGGCATCATGGTCAATCAGGCTCAATACAATAGAAACGCTGTGTTTTTTAAGATCTGGTGAAGTTGCGACTCAAATATGCACCCAGGGACCCTCCAGAAATACAGACATATGGTGAGTATTTTTTCAATTACAACCTTTCATAGTGTCGTTTCGATTCTTCAGTGGTTGGCTAAAGAAGTGAAATGTGAGTATATAAACTCATCCCGAGCAAAAATCCTACAAGTAGAGAGGTCTGGTGAGAAGAGGTTTTGAGTAAAATGTGGGCAATGGGTGGCACCCTCATTTATCACCGAAAACACAAAGCATCCTTATTTAGAGCTCTCGCAACTGGAGTGCTTCAGTTGACGAGAGCTTTTTTCAACTTGATTCGCTCACCTTACGACTTGGAGCAATCCAAAAAAGGTTCAATTCTTCTTATAAAGGAAACAGTAAGGGACACTGTTACGACGCGTATTGTTGATGGACTATAAGGGAGTTGCTGTGTTGTTAGTAGGTCTGAATGATGGGTTCAATTCTGGTGTGTGTATGTACTAAAGTACGAGAGAGGAGATGGGAATCTACACACTAGCCACATTCATGGAGGAAAAAGTTGTTTTAAGCCATCAGCTTGTAAATATCGTAGAGCATCCATGGAACTCACCAATAAATAGCCGAGAACTTGATTCATGTGAAGTGAGCGGAGATAAATATGGAATTTCACCAACAATAAATGATGATTGGTGAAATGTGATGTCAAATCGGCCTTTTGTCACTGAATTTGGGAACATACAGTAGCATTCAAAAGTCTTTGGTGAAATGCTTCTTAAGTCATACTTTTCAGTCGTGACTCCTTTCCTACTGGATGTAATCATGCGAAATTTCAATATGTGTAGCATGGGTGTATTGTGAACATTTACCTCTATTCNTCTGCAATCTGATCATGTTTCAGATATTCCAAAGAGTATAAACTAAAAATCGACTGAAAATATTGATGATGGTCCTTCTAGAATCTCTTTCCTTTTCGTCATGTCTAAAGTGTACGAGCGGTGATGCCGAACACAATAGATGAGAAAAACGCACATAAGGTGCGAATAAATGCAGACGTCAACAACTTTAGTTTTAGCAAAATCTGCTGCCGCAACAAACACCTTGCTCTATCTTGGATCTTGCAGCTTCGCAGTCAAATAGTGTTGGGTAGGGTGGAATATGCTCTGGTTAAACATGTCCAAATTTTGCACGATTTGGTCTACTAACAAAAAAGTTATGAACGAAAAAGCGTCGAAGCATTTCACCAAAGACTTTTGAGCGCTACTGTATGAGCCGGGTTTCATTGTTGTGTGCGATATATGCATTACGTTTGTTGTAATTCAAAAGTAACAACAAACAACTGACTTTTTCGACAAACAGAAAGAATGCTAAATGATGGTAGGCAAATAATGAATGGCAGCAACCATTGAGTGTTAATCCGAAATTGCGCATTTAGGCCTTGCGTTTACCCCACTTCATAACTCCTGTGATCTTTTACCGTTTTACACCACGTTGGAGATTTGAATAAGCTTATATCTTAAGACCGTTTCAGGTCCACCTACGGCACCAGTCGCAATGTCAGAAACTAACGCGAGCATATCACGTAACATGCTCAAAACTACCACTAGAAACGCCGACTCGACGTAAGTCTTTACTCATCCATTGTTTATTTATCCTATTGTGGAATTATCGCTGTACAACGACGATTTGTGATTTTGTGATGTTCACCTCAATCAACCGTTGATCATTATTTTTTAGCGGGCAGCAGTAATGGCTATATTTGTCTCTTTCGGAAGCCAGGATAGTCCGTTGAATTGTACTAGCTCGAGGGACGCGAAGGATAGAATTCACTCCGTTGAGAACTTTCGTTCTGAACTCTGACCATCTTGTCGATGGCTGTTCTGGTATTTGTTCCATGTCCCGAGAGATTCAGCCAGTGAATGCTCTGATACAACGTCAATACAAAGTCGCACGAGGTGTCCTGCCCGCATGATCTTCGACTCCTTGGTGTGAGCAACGATGTCCGTGTTTTTCGTTCCTTGGCGCGGTTACAAGCCCTGGATTCCCTTTCTACGTGCACTTATCGAAAATTTTCGGGTGTCGTCCTTCCCCAGCGCGTTGATTGACGCTGACTTTATTTTTATCCTATTTTCGTTGAGTCCATCGAGTTCGTTGAGTTCTTGAGGAGTATGTCGAAATAGGAAAGACGTCAATGTCATAAAGGTGTTCGCGGATCAGAAGGATCTTTATATTTTTCATTCAGCCTTTCGATCGTCGATAGTAGAGAAGGAGTCATTTCGAATAATCACTTCTGATCAACATAAGAACAAAAAAGAAACAGAAAGAAACAATCGAGAACAATAAAAGAAGATAGGAAGTCAGCGAAAAATATGGCCGGGAGGCGAGCTGAGTACGGTTATTGCAGCTTGCAGCCACAAAACGACTGGAAAAGATTTGCCGCATGCCGCAAAGCGAACTTGGGAAATCGGGCCGAAGTTGCGCTACCCTCTCTCATGCCGCGAAGTATTATTGTAGATAATGACGTCCTGCTCTTGTCTAGGCGAACTACCCTGCTTGTCGTGCCGTAGAACTATGCTCTCGTTTACGACAGATATTTCTGCACTCTTCCACAGCAATGAGGCCCGTGGATGCTCCACATCCATCCGTGGTGATGTAGCTTGTTCGTAGTGGCTTGGTCGCCGTGGACGCCTTCATCTGTTCTCGGTGTATTG